AACCTCAACAGCCAATGATTGAGTCTATGGCAGAAGGACTTCCTTTTCGTAATTCTTTCAAGGGCCACTTTTTAAAATTTAAACCAGCATTGCCCTGTTTTTGTCCTCTCAGTTCAAAAATAATATAATAATTGAGCAGACCTTGTAAGAGGACTTAGGAAAGCATCACCTCATCCACCCTTTTTTCCCAGCAGTAGATTCAACAATGACCACTGACCCGCCCCCATTTCCAAGAAAACCAGAATCTTCACCACTTTGGTCACACACTTTGGGTCCCTTGAACCCATCATCTGATGTCTAAACTTGTGGACTCTATAGCAAGGTGGATAGTTTGTGTTTGTAGTCATGTAGGGAATTCCAGAATGCCAATGGCTGGTTGAGCTGAGCCCGTTTGGACCTTCCCATGGGTCGTAAGAAGCAGAAGAGAGCAGCATCTCCAAGTGCACTGTCCGAACTTTGTTCTTCCCCTTGGCATAGACCTCAGACTTGGCATTTTGGGGGCGAAAGAACCAATGTCTGTTCCCACTGAACCCCTTTACTTCTAAACATCCACCGATGCCTTGAGTGATCAATGAGTTGTCTAACCCGAGAGCAAAGGAGGGCCAATAAGTCAATTGTCAAGGTCAGCCTGGAGCCCAGAAGCCACCCAGAGGACTTGCCAAGGCATGGACCATGGCTGCACAATGCCAAACGAGGTCATCCGAACAGCGCCACTGTAACTGACTAGTCTGCTTGCGTAGTGCTGGGGTCTAATGAACTGATGGCTCTGGGTTGCAAGTTCAGAATTGCACCCCTCACGGGAGATATCTGTCTAACAGATAAGCCCTTGGGCCATGCATGGCTCGATCATTCTCCACACTGGGACCAATAATTCCCATCTCACTCAGGTATTATACATAGTGGGTCATAAGACAGTATGCCTAGATGGAGGATGGTGTAAACAGCCACACCTGCCTCACCATGCATTTCCTCACTATGTGCCGGAGACAGGGCTAAACACTTAATATATTATCTCAGGTGATTCTCACAGTAACCCTAAAGTTGGGTAATATTGGTCTACCCTCCCTTATCTATAGTTTTAAATTCCAGAAAGCTCTGCAAATCCAAGGCTTCTGGGAGGAACTTGGCACAAAAACTCATTTGGGAAGAAAACTTGACCCGAAATGATGTGTGGCTGGTTATTGATGGGCTTTCTTTATCCCACTTAGTGTGAATATTCATGCATTTTGCTGCCGGAATATTTATGTGTTTGATTTCAAGGTGTTGTCCCCGACCCTGCTAAGGGCATTACATAATCATTGTTTTCTCTGAAATACCTTTCTGGAGAAAACAAAACAAAAAACTGAATTTCAAAAACACAGGTGACCCCAAGGGTCTCAGATAAGGAGTCACAGTCATGCATTATGACGCCCCTTTTGCACATGGAGAGCCTGAAACTGACCCTTAAAGAAAGGTAACTCGCCCAGGGTCACAAGGGATGTCAGTGACGGCGCTGAGTATTGGACCGGGTCTGCGGGACCACAGCCTTCCGTCTTCGTCACCAGCCCACGGATAAGGCGTATCCATAGGCATGCGTATGGAAAACCAGGGGCGTGCGTCTCAGGATAGGGAAGGAGGTGATTCAAAGGGAGAGGTGGCATCTGAGTCGGGCTGTGGGAATCAGCAGACACCCGCTGGGCAAGCCCAGGAGAAAACCCTCATTAGCAGAGCGCAGAACGTGGGTGAATTCATGGGCTGACACATCAACATAGACCTTCAGTACCTTCCCCAACCCACTGGCACTGTGGGAGTTGACATTGTTTAAAGATAGGTCTCAAAAGCCAAAAGAGGTAGGCCAGAGGGGCTGGGAGGAATTTCAGCAAGGGAACGCCTAAGCCCTGAATCTCTGTGTGCCCCACGTAGGAATGGGCTCCCCTGATTCCCTTCTAGGATCCGACAGGTGAACGTCGACTTCTCTAGCTTTGCCTCCTGATCGCCCTTTGCCACCCCTTCTTTCTGAGATGGTGAGCTCCCTGAAGGCTATTTTCTGACTTACACTTCGCAGAGTTGGGCGGTGGCTGAGAGATGCTGGTGCACGCCTCCCTGGTGTGCATGGCATAAGCAATGGTCTAAAGCAAGCCCTGCCGTCTGGGCTTTGAGGCAGAAATCGCC